CGTCCCTCGTCGTTCCTCTCCATGGTGCGTCCCACGTTGATCTCGTCCTACGTCGTTCTTCTCCGATGGTGCGTCCCACGTTGATCTCGTCTCCCGCTGCTCTCGTCTCCCGCTGATCTCGTCTCCCGCTGCTCTCGTCTCCCGCTGCTCTCGTCTGACTGCTCTTCCCTATAACTAAGATTCGAATTCAACTGTCCGTGACGCGCGACAGTGACGCGCGACTGTGACGCGCGTCACGGTCGCGCGTCACCAGGTGAAGGTGACGGGGACTACTGAATGACTTATTACATGAATAACCATAGAACAGAGGCTTCCAACAGCCTCCATGCATTCGGTTCATTATTTGCCGTTTCATGCCGATGAAAAGTTGCGTGTTTCCAGCGGAGCGCGCAGCGTTCAAAGTCGCTACGTTAAAAGCTTCAGTTTAATCACTGAATGGAGCTCGCGACATTAAATTGCTTACACAAAACTCTTGATCGGCACTCAGCGTTTGTTTATTGTTGTTTATTGTTGTCGTTCATTCAAACCGCTCTGCGCAGAGAGAGAGAGAGAGAGAGAGAGAGAGAGAGAGAGAGAGATAGAGAGAGAGAGAGGTCCGCGTTCTTGTCCGTCAGTTAATTTACTTATTTGTGTGCAGGTAATATGTTGTTAAATCGGTTTAAACTTCAATAAACGACCTATCCAAGTAGTTCTGTCTCGTTGTATTCATTTGGCCTGTTATTGACGCGCCTAATGCGCAACCAGATATTGGAATATATTCGAACGTCATTTCTGAACAATTTTGACAGCCGTAGTGTTGACAGAACAGAGTGAAGACTTCCCAGTACAGCTACAAGTTACAAAGGAAAAATCAAAAATCGGCACGGCTCTGGACTTTATGAAGACACTGGGCGCATTAACTAATGTGCTTATTATGGTCACTTTGATATTTACACACTCACTTGAGGTTACAAGCCAGGTCTAACTTGTTCCCCCATTGCTTTTATGGGTGCAATATAACCGTGGATACTATACAACATGGAGAAGGTTGTGGATTTCAGGAAGAACAGAGCCCCGCCTTCCACCATCACCCCGTGTGGGCTCCATCATCACCCAGGACCTCAAGAGGGAGCTGAACATCAGCTCCATCCCCAAGAAGGCTCAGCAGAGGGTGTTCTTCCTGAGGCAGCTGGAAAATAAATTCAACCTGCCAAAGACGATGACGGTGCACTTCTACACGGCCATCATGGAGTCCATCCTCTGCTCCTCCATCACCGTCAGGGGGGGACAAGATCAATAGATTCAATTCAATTTTACATTGATTTTATTCTATTTTGTATAGCCCAAAATCGCACACATGTGACATCCGCTGTCCCGAAACCCTCACATTGGCACAGAAAATACATGAATGCAGTACTCTATATCCCAAATCCACACTCTACTGGACTGATGTACAGTTGTATGATGGGAAATGTATAAACCAGGGGCCTGTTTCAATAAGGAGGTTCAACCAACTCTGAGTTAAAACTTGAACTCTTACCCTGAGATGGGAAACTCTGAGTTTTCGGTTACAGAACAGCTGAAATGAGTTAGTTCAATCAACTCTGAGTTGACCTACTCTGAGTTAAGCGCGTGCGCCACAACTATAAAAAGCCATTATCAATGGAGCGCAGATATTACGAGTCACCATGGCAACAGCGCCAGACAAAAAGAGGTCTTCATATTTTTCACCAGCAGAACTGGATGTGCTTATGAAAATAGCTGCTCGAGTCAATGCGTAAGTTTACATTTGAATTACTGTTATACAGTGTTGTGTGTAATTAATTTCTATGTAATCTAAAAACTGTCATTTAATTCCGTAATTTAAAGTAAAATCTGATGTAATTGCATTAAATGCTGCATAAACTATAAAGCAATTCTGTATAAAACAATAGTGGATTTAACATCAAATTTTAAAAGATATATTTTTTCAAGAATAATTCATGCAATTGTATAATGTTTATTTGAAAGCATTAAAAGTGCAGTTTCTTGTCTCTCCTTGTATTGTTCAAGTGGTTGAGGTTGATATGGGATTTAGAAAGTAATTAGTAATAAGTAGACCAATACTTTCTAGAGATAGTCATTATTACATTAATCTAATTACACTGTTGAAGAAGCCAGTTGTAGTTAGTAATATAAGTGACTTGCCCAACTGTTATAATATCAGAAGTGAAACTGGAAGAACAGCGTGTTATTCAACCTAATTTTAATTTTCATGTAGGTGCAATCCTTCAGGCATTAAAAGAACATGGCAGCAGCTGAAAATGAAATATAAAAACATAATTCAATCAGGTAAGGCTTGAACATATCATGGTTGTAGTCTACCTGACTTTACAAACATTTGACATATAAATAACTAAATAGCATCCAGTGTCTAGCAGTGCAGCAGCATTTTTGACATGGGTCTAAATGTTCATTCTCATTTGACTACTCAGCCAACAGAAAGAAGGCAGAGGCTCGCAAAACGGGGGGAGGACCTGCACCACCACCTCTGACAAATGCAGAGGAGATGGCCCTGAGCCTGAATGCTGGAAGGCCAATGGCTGAGGGAATTCCTGGAGGGACTTCATCAGAGCCAGTCACTCCAGAAGATTTAAGTGCCTTCATAAAATGTAAGAGGTCTACCTATGTGTTGTGTTTTTATATAGGCTATTTGTGATATTTCCATTTATTTTACTTGGTGGGTTTTTCGTTGGTCCCAACAGATTCTGATGGTAAAATTAGTCTTTTGGAGCCTCCTGTCCCAACAGAACCACAGGCAGTTGTAAGTAGCCTACTCAATACACCAGAAATTATTACAAATAGTGTTATAAAGTGTACTCAAATGCTCATCTTCACAGGATGATGGGGATGAAGAAACAGTTTCTGCTGCCACAGAGATGCCTACAGAGGTAATGTTAATATTATGTGTCTATCAAACAATCTACACATTCACATTTCTTCACCTTTTTTATGTGGATAGAATCTAAGTTTAAATATGGAATATGGATATGACAAAAAATCCACTCTGGGTCTCAAAATCCTCTCCCGATGTAAATGCAACTCCCTACGGATTAATGCAGCCTCTTCATCCACAGGATCGTCCATAAAAGGACATGCCATTTCATTCACTTGATTTGATGCGCTCTGCGTGACTGAAATGTGCGCAATGAATGAATACCGAAAGAATGAATGAGGTGATTAAATACCACTTCCTCTTTAAAAATGGGGAGGAGACGAAATAAACTCTGGGTTTCCCGAAGAAAACCTGCTCCCGACCAAGTTAGGTTCACAGAGTAAGTTGCCATGGTAACTGACTCTGAGTATAAGTTACCTCTCTTTCTGAAACAGGCTTGACTTACTCTGCTTTCTCAGGTTTAACATACCTCCCATTCTGAAACAGAAAACTCAGAGTTTCCCTCATTTCAGGGTTAACATACTCAGAGTTTTCACTTAACCTCCTTTCTGAAACAGGCCCCAGGCGTTTGTCACAATAAACATTTCCATCTCTACAGTTCTGACCATGAAGTGGGCCATTAGTGTGAAATGGCCCAAAATATATCTGTATTTAATATTTCTGTGTACATCAGTCCGGTGTATATATATAAAAAATATGACTAAATCTATGTATGAATGAAACTAAATAAAAAGTGGCTGCCAAAATTAACACTGCTCCTCGTACTGGACGCATCACACTTTCTTTCACCGCTGTGTTCCACCTCTTGGACATTAGATCACGTGTTTGTAGAGTTTTGAAGTTGTAGTGCTTCCTCTAGGACCTGACAGTGGAGTTGTCCCACTATATATTGCACTTGACTCTCAATCGGAGCGTAGTGAGAGTCGAGCAACTCTGTTCTGCTTGATGGCGTAATGTTCCTATCGTCTGTGACCCTGCACCTCCCCAACAAAGCCAACCATGATTATCACAACTCAGAATGGAGTGAGACAGGGAGAAAAGGCGATGTGGTCTTTGCAATAAAACACATTTAATGTGACGGCATGAGTCTTAGCCAATCTGCGTTTATCGCTACATCGTCTTCATTTCCCCTCCCAACCTAATCCTAGCATTCCAAATTGAAGTTACTGCGGACACTTGATTATTATTATTACTGCAGGTGTTTTGGCGCAATCAGTGGTCTTAATCAGATCTGTTTATTATTTTGGTCAGAACAATCCAAAGGCCGTGGTTATAAAAGCTTGAGGGTTCATCAGATGACGTGGATGTGATATGGCGGACAAACATGGGCTAACTCTTCATTTGCATCAAATGCAAAGGCATACATGTTATAAAATGCAGTTTTCTGGATTTTTTTGGTTGATATTCCGTTTCTCACTGCTGCAATACACCTACCATTACAATTATCGATCACACATTTCTTTGCAACTGGCCAAACTTGCGAAATCGGCAGAGGTTCAAATACTCATTTTCCCCACTGTAGGTTACCATTTTTGTCAGAGACTTTGACTATTACATTACGTTCATGCAGTCAACATTTGCGGTGTTGACCCTTGTTTTTCAAGAACTCTGCCATTGACCCCGTCCTGCTGTCAGTTCATTTGTGGGCCACATCCTGACTGACGGCAGGCCATTCTTGCATTATAAAGGCTTGAAGTTTTTGTTTGTCCACCTGCCTCTCGAGGATTGACCACTCAATGGGATTAAGGTCTGGGGAGTTTTCGGAATACGGTCATTCTCAAAACGAATGGCCATGGCTGTTCAACCTGATGCATTTATCATCTGTTAGTAGAAATTGTCTATGCATTGTGTGTGTATTCATTATTCAACGTAACATTTCTTGTGGTGGTCGTTTGTTTCAGATTATGAAGCTATTGTGAAGCTGTCAGACGGTTTCAACGGCGCTGATCTGAGGAATGTGTGCACAGAAGCAGGTTGGACATCACTCATTCAGTCATGTAATTAGTTTCATTACCTCAATGCGTGTTGTTCACGGGTTGGTTTGTTGCAGGTTTGTTTGCTATCCGCGCTGACAGAGAGTACGTCACTCAAGAGGACTTCATGAAAGCCGTGCGGAAGGTGGCGGATTCCAAGAAGCTTGAATCCAAGCTGGACTACAAGCCTGTATAAATCAAATGTCATTGGCCTTTTCCCATATTTTCATTGATTTGCTGTGTTTGTTCTCCAGGTTACCAATTTAGTGATTTTTACTGAGTAACCCCTGTTTTCCCTTTAATTAGTACATAAGAATTAGCTCATAAAGGCTGATCATTCTCCCATCTCACAGAACATCTGTTAAAAGAAACTTGTACTAAAAATACACTGTTATATGGAAAGTCCTTGTTTTTTATTCTTTGATCTCATTGCCATAAAGTGAGTGTGATGGATATTCAGCAACCCACTGACTGCATTTTGCAAAACCCATTAAAGGTAAACATTACACAACATTGAAAGTAGTGTAAGTGGCTGCAACAACAAGAGCTGTTTGAATTCTCTAAACGCTAAGGCAGGAGCTTCAATGCTTCCCTACTTGGCTCCTTTAGCAGAGGAACCGCTGGACCATCCTTTACAAAAGGAAAGGAGATGATTCCATCGCATAATCCCTTGCGCCGGCAACATTTAAATAGTGATCATTTGGCGTTCACGAGGGGAAAAAAAAGGATCATGACTGAGAAACGCAGACTCATTTATTCTGCATGACTCAGCACTGTAGCAGCTCATGAACCGAGTGATCTAAGATGCGCTTCTTTATAGTCCACCTTCAGAGAAATCTTAGTTTCGCCGCTGCACACTGATGTCACGAACATGCTTCTCCCGTTAGTTTGGTGAAAGCAGTCGGATTACTAATGACTAGGGGTGTAACCATTCATCCACTGAATCAATCGATTTATATTCCTGCGATCCAACTGAATCGATCTGTGCTCCGCAAATCTGCATTCCGATTACATATCGATTGAAATGGTGCATAATTGATTTCTATCGATACTTGGAAACTGCACATTGGATTTAAGCACAAAACCGGTATGGATGTGTTTGTTTGTTTTTTGGCAATTTAGACACGTTAAACGTTACTGGATCCAGTCTGCCTGTCTGTGACGTCATCAGTACGCAGCGGCAGCCGCGTGAAACTCTGAACAACAACAAAACACAAATAAAGACAAATAAAAACCACGGAAACACAACGAATCTTTCCGGTCATCTACTACGGCGCCGTGGGATTAAACAACGGCGACAGTCAGGACCTCTAGCAGCGTCACCGCTGCAGCAGGTAACTCAGCTCTGCAGACGCCTCAGGCCTCGCCAGCACCAAACATCACAGTAACAAGTTTATCTGTAAAGACATGAGACCCTACGATGTGGTTGAACATCCGGGGTTCTGTGAATTGATCCAAACATTGTGTAATTATTGTCTAATGTTTACATTGAAAATGGCACCTGATTCAAATAAAAGGTTAATACATTTGCCATTAAGTGTTGTTTGCTTGTTTATAATATCCATAATTAATTTAAACCTGATTTCCTTACAAGAAACAACAGGGATCTCAGAAACTTTGCCTGCACTGTCCAGTAAAGTTACTGAATCGAATTTAAGTCACTGAATCGAATCGAATCGTTCTAAATTAACCCAGATCGCCCATGAATCGAATCGGCAACCATGAATGGATGTTCAAATCTAGCCACATTTAGACTATTACCTGTAATACACCTTTCCACTCTAAATAGATTTGGTTTTGGTGCGAGTTTTGACATCGGCCATAGAGCCTCCTCACCAAGGTTATAAGACTGCATGTATATATTTTGATTCTAAAGCAGCTCAACAGACGTAAAGAAAAAGCCTGCACAGGTCCCTTTTCATGGTCTTTTTCAGGGTCAAATGTCTGCACAGGCTGCCTGTGTTGACTGACTGTATATTGCATGAATAAAACAGACCAGCTAGGCTACAACTACTTAGTTATGTCTCGTTGAATGAATTTCTCTTATTGACGCGCCTAATGCGCTCGATATTGGAATATATTTGAATCTAGTTGCGTAGATATATTTCTACAGCTGCAGAAGAATCAAAAGAGTCAACTTTTAAATTTATTAAAGAATTTATTAACTAAAAGTGATGAATACAGTTACAATACAATGTGTAGGATATTAGAAACAAATTGACAATCCGGTTCATAAAATTAATAAAATGCATATAGTGTACACCAGAATACAGCCATGATTCTGAAACTGTGTAATCAATAAAGTAATGACAATATTGTAAGACCACTGTAATTCTGCAACTGTACTAGAATAATACCAATGCAGTTATGATTGTATTTGATGTAATGTGATCAACTGGAATGCATGCATGTAATACTTGAACAACAACTGATATTGACTGAGGATCATTCGAAATCCGAGTTACATTGAACTCACCAGAAGACCACTCCCAGAGGTGTGGACACTGACTTTCACACCTTTAAGCATTGTTATAAATACCTGTAGGAACCATTGTTCTGGAGTTCACAGGTGGAGGCGACAGACGGGCACTAGGGATGGTCAAAGGACTGACCTGGGGCCTGTTGGTCGCTGAGACCAGCGGCTCCTCAGCTGAGATGTTCTTTTTACCGCAACACCATCTCCTTTATTAAATACATTTGATTTTAACCTTTTGATCAGCGATGACCTCTGTCTGTCCGGCGTTTCTTCATTTTTGAACACAACAAATGCAATGCAAACATACAATACAAACAGTCCACAAAGGTCCCACGGTGCTCGTGTCCCATCTTTAAATTGTGAAGTGTTGGGAAAGCCCTCGAATGAGGCCTCACTTCTTTGTTCTCGAAACAAAGAATCAAAAGAGTCAACTTTTAAATTGATTCAAGTTTTTTAATTTTGTTTAAAAATTAAAAATTTTAAACAAAGTGATAAAGAATACAGTTACAATACAATAGTTACAATACAATACAGTTACAATAGTTACAATACAATACACGTTACAATACAGTCCACGAAGGTCCCACGTTGATCTCGTCCCACGTTGATCTCGTCCCACGTCGTTCATCTCCGATGGTGCGTCCCACGTTGATCTCGTCCCACGTCGTTCATCTCCGATGCTGCGTCCCACGTTGATCTCGTCCCTCGTCTTTCCTCTCCGATGGTGCGTCCCACGTTGATCTCGTCTCTCGTCGTTCCTCTCCGATGGTGCGTCCCTCGTCGTTCCTCTCCGATGGTGCGTCCCACGTTGATCTCGTCCCTCGTCTTTCCTCTCCCATGGTGCGTCCCACGTTGATCTCGTCTCTCGTCGTTCCTCTCCGATGGTGCGTCCCTCGTCGTTCCTCTCCGATGGTGCGTCCCACGTTGATCTCGTCCCTCGTCTTTCCTCTCCGATGGTGCGTCCCTCGTCGTTCCTCTCCGATGGTGCGTCCCACGTTGATCTCGTCCCTCGTCTTTCCTCTCCCATGGTGCGTCCCACGCTGATCTCGTCTCTCGTCGTTCCTCTCCGATGGTGCGTCCCTCGTCGTTCCTTTCCGATGGTGCGTCCCACGTTGATCTCGTCCCTCGTCTTTCCTCTCCGATGGTGCGTCCCTCGTCGTTCCTCTCCGATGGTGCGTCCCACGTTGATCTCGTCCCTCGTCTTTCCTCTCCCATGGTGCGATCCACGCTGATCTCGTCTCTCGTCGTTCCTCTCCGATGATGCGTCCCTCGTCGTTCCTTTCCGATGATGCGTCCCACGTTGATCTCGTCCCTCGTCGTTCCTCTCCTCCCTCGTGCGTTCCTCTCCGATGGTGCGTCCCTCGTCGTTCCTCTCCAATGGTGCGTCCCACGTTGATCTCGTCCCACGTCGTTCTTCTCCGATGGTGCGTCCCACGTTGATCTCGTCCCACGTCGTTCTTCTCCGATGGTGCGTCTCACGTTGATCCTCTACGATGGTGCGTCCCACGTTGATCTCGTCCCTCGTCGTTCCTTTCCGATGGTGCGTCCCACGTTGATCTCGTCCCTCGTCTTTCCTCTCCGATGGTGCGTCCCACGTTGATCTCGTCCCACGTCGTTCTTCTTGATTGTGCTTCCCTCGTTTGATGTTATTGGTGCTTCCTCGTAGATCTCGTCATGTTGTACCTTCTCGTTGTA